TGTACGAACCTTTCCTGGAGTCCAAGACGGCGCGCGAACCGATGTTTTCTCAGTTCCATTGTCCGATTTTTCTTCTACCTCTTCTCAATCCAGATCTCTCTAAAATATTTCCAGTAATCCCACCCTCCCCTATTATATTTAAACGCCCTTCGAACCTGGAAGACTTTCCTAAAGACAGAATCTCTCTTGCATCTCTTCGAACGTAATTTATCTCATTACGACCGCGTCACCGTGGCTCAGTGGATAGGGGCTCGGGCTAGCACGGGAGGTCCAGGTTCCGAATCTGACATGCGGTATTCTCCTGGGCCAACAGCCCACCCGGCTGCTTTCGGGTACTACCTGCTCTCCCTTGGGCTCAAGCATAGGCCACTCTGCTCCATTGTGTGAGAGGTAGGGGTTTGGTGAGCCTCAATAGCTACCTGACGCATCGGCCCTAGCGGTGATGAGCAGTGATTGAAGGCTTCAGGCAGAGTACAGGTGTAACTAGAGGTTCCATAGAACTCCACTCGAATCTCATTCATTGACAGGTTCGCAATATAGATGTCATTGTCGATCCTCCACCTAGCGTGCGCAGATCAACAACTCCTCCATAGCCGAGTTCAACGAGACACGCGTGTTACGTCATGGTCCTTAGAATACCAGGTCACGCAGCTCCCCGCCCATCTGACTCTAGGGACCCCCCTTCCCCTTCACTATGTGTTGGCCGTTTGTGGCATTTACCCTTGTCTGTGTGTCCGTCCCAGTCCACGTTTAAAAAATTAATAGTAATAAAAATGATCTCCTTACTCACGGCAGTCACTGGGTCCCCGTCCCCATATGTGGGGGAAACTGGCCGACCTTTTCTGGTCAGAACACGCGAACGCCTCCGCTTAAATTACCGTCAACCAACCAGGTGCCATTTCAGCAGCAGCTCTCACTCCACCAATTTAAACATCATCCCAATCGAAGCAGTCAAATTTGATGACCCGGTTTAATGAAGAAGCTGGGAAACATTACGGGTCTTAGAAACAAAACTGTCCATCAGCACCACCTCTTGAACCATCCATATGTGCGTCCCTATTTTTACTTTTCCCTTTTTTAATCTCTGTATTTTTCCATTTTGCCCGCCCTCCGTTCGTTTTCCTTAGTTTTGAATATTTTTATGGTGCAGTATCCTTTTCTACTATTTATCATTTCTTAATCGGTCTCGTTTCTTCCCCCCCCCCCCACCTTTCCCCTTCTATTAATTTTTTCTCTTTTTTTCATTCCTTTCTTTTTACACCATTTTTGTACATTTTTTTTTACTATTATTTTCAGATATCCTGAACTCACTCCTTTGAAACGTTGAAGTTTTTCTTCTTAATAAACCTTCATCTGGTTGGGAATTTCTCCTGATGTCATATTTTTTCTTCACTCCCAGTGCTCTTTAAAGATCCTGGATTAGCTGTTTGGTGGCTTTCGTCACTCGCTTCATTATGCAATCCGTTTCTGACGAGTGCATACAACATGATGGCTGCCTTCTCTGGTCACCATGCGTGATCGGAGGTTCAATCATTTAATTCCAGACGAGGTATTTCAAGGGCGCAAGAGAAGTGAAAAGTTAACGTCTACGCCTCTACCGTTCGACCCCAGTAAGGGGTAAATGATGATGACCGAAAGCTGAGACCACGAAATGTCTTTCGTAGATACTAACTCTTAGGACTTTATGCCCATTGATTTCTCATTGAAACGGAGCAGTGGTAAACCCTAAGAAACCTCGGTGCTTAAACTACGGCCTGCGCCGAGATCTAATTATCCTCAAAGTTGAGATCGAAATCCTTTCATGAATCCTCGACCCAAACGCCAGTTGAGCTGGTGGCTTGCCTCCGTTCGTACCAATTAGAAATGCCCGCAAGCCACAGGTTTTAAGTAAAGGTTTAGATAAGTAGACCCTGGGGAGGTCACTGTTCGAGCGACCAGCTCCTTAACACGTTGGCGACAATGCGTCCTGATGCCAGGATGCAGATTTTTTTTCAATGAATACCCTCTGGAACTGTTGAGAACGTTCCAGAAGATTATGATTTCGTAATTACTGATAAAAATTCCAAAAAATTCAACATTAAAAAAAA